TACCTAAATGCTTGAATCCTTCTTCTTTGAACCACTTTAGACCAATAAGTCTATGTGGAGTTGGTTATAAGATACTGCTAAGATTTAGACTTTCATACTGAAAAGGTGTTTAGATGATTGTATTAGTCCTGCACAAGCAGTCTTCATACCTGGGAGCAGTGTTTTAAATATCGTACCGGTCAATATGCCGGACGAGCCAACGGTACGCCGTTCAACCGGTTCGACCGGTTTTACCGTCTATTTTACCGATATTAATAAATATTAAATTAATTTAGTATTACAATATAAATAACGTACAAAACTAACTTCAATTAATATTAAAATTAATTAACATCTAATAACAATGTAAATATATTAAAATGAAGTGTAAAACTTTCAATTTATATAAAAAAAATAATAATAAAAATATATTATTTTTTTTTCAAAAAAAATGGCATAAACCGGTATTTTGACCGATATTTTCCGGTATAAACCGGTATTTTGTCAAAAACGGTATTTAGAGGGTAACCATACCGGTCGGACCACCGGTATCCGGTATTACTGATAATACTGGCCGGTACGGTACGGTATTTACAACATTGCCTGGGACAGTAGTTGGACAATGCAATAATTGCTCAGAAGGTTTCTATTTTCTGAATAGGCATAGGTCAGGGTTTATTTACTTTATGGCGATTAAATTGGATATGAAAAAAAAAAAGCTTATGACTGAATTGATTGAAAAAGTGACAATGATACTATGTTCAAATTGGGGTTTCATCCTACTTTCATTAATAAATTATGGTCTACATTTCTTCCTCTGCATTCTGATATGAAGCGACCTCCGACCAGTTGGAATTCGCCTCTTGTTGAGCTTTTTTGTCGATTGAACGTCCTAGAACCTACAAAACTCTCACACCAGAGGGGTTCTCCGGTAAAGATTCGCCGATGCTTAAATGAGTAAGTGCAAATGATGAAGTACAGAGAGAGAGAGAGAGAGAGAAAGATCTATGTATGATAATGCATAATAGAGAATGTAATGGCTTAAATCACATGCTTCACCCCTATTTATAGGGGTGAGGTACCCGCTTCTAGAAGGCTGTCCAGATATGGTGAGCTGGCTACCCAAGCTACCGAGCTGTTCTATAGTACAAATAGCAATGTGTCAGAGATGGTTATGGGGCGTGGACCAATCAAGTGGTGTCACGTGCCTTTGCTCATGTGTTGCATTAATTACCTTAAATATTTTTTTAGTCTCCTTCATTAGGTGGTCTAACCGTGCATTTGACCCCGATCACCTCGAGGTAGAGTGTCACCAGCAATGACCCATGTTGTTCTGTTCATCTGGTCGATAAACTGGTCGATCATTCGACCATATGATCTTTCGAGTCAAGCTTTCCTCAGGCCCTCCGAAGGCCTCTATCCGACTTGCTGGTGTTCTTTACGTCACCGGTGCCTTCTTCGACATGAGAGTCTTTCGACCCAAGGGGTCTCCATTCTATTCTCTACTTGATGACTAGTACGGTTTGATTCGGTTGTCTCTACGGCCTAGTCGACCTGGTGAGGATATCTCATATCATCTGCCCCCACCCCCTCCATCAGCCCTGCCCTTCTTGACCTCTACAATGTATTTGGGTTCCTCATTAATCCATTGTCCTCAAATTTTATCCGACAGCTAGCTATTTATGCTATCCTCTCATACTGCAGATTAGGACGCATCGACCTAGGCTTATTCTTTTATTACGTTATCCCCAAGAGCCAGAGAGACAAATTGTACCTGCAGGCTCGCAATGGAGCCCACTTCATAAATGACATGCCTTCTAACATCTCCAACTAGAAAACCCACTACTTCTTTATTCGACCTTCTTCTCATTTGACTTTTAATTCGGCCTGGGTCAAAAAGTACAAATGTACACTGCCCGTGCCCACTTCTTGTGCTAGCTTCGACCTCAGGATTAAAGAGTGGAACAAGTCCACTGTTTCATATGAGATTCTCCTCAACAATGAGCCCCTTTTTGGCTCATTGTGGGCCAGATTGGTATTTAATAATTTCACATAGTTTTGTCGTCATTTACTTATTTTGTGTTGTTCATTGTACTTTCCTCATTTTGCTGCATATGGACTATTGAAGTTGAAGGACCCTCACTCCACCTCCGTTTCGAAGAACAAGAAACCCAGTCCTCCTTTTAAACTGGCTGACGTCGAGCCTCAACAATCCCAAGCGCTTCCGATTAAAGGTGTCTGTTACTGGGGTTGGTAAAAGTGACCCCAGGGATACTTTTCCCAAGAAACAGGTGCGCACTAAGCGCGTCAAAGTTACCATTCTCAAGGAGTTCCATTCTTCGACCTCCTCCACTAGAGGGAGTTTCCATCGACCACCCAATTCCTTCAGTCGGGCTAGCACCCCAACCTCCCTCGGCCACTCAGGTCAAGGCCATCACTTCTTTCTCTTCCAACTCCCAGGGAGTTGCAACCATCGGGCACCTCATGAGGTGCCTTCTTGGGGCTGAAACCCATCAGTGGGGAGCCGACCAGGTTGGTCGGGTAGAATCTACAGCCAAGGGCTTAATGCAGATACTCTTTATTCCCCTTGCTACCTAGCATTGTTTAATACTTTGTATGTCTTTATCTGCTATGATTGGTTTTTGTGTTGAAATTCTTTGTCTTTGTCATGCCTACCTTCAATGAGGCCATTGGAGGATCGGGCCCCTTCATCCTAGACCTCGAACCTGCCAACAAAGAGCTGGTCGCTGAGGTAAAACAACTTAATGGGCATAAAACTAATTAACAGTTGTGATGCCCAAACACGAGCGTTGCCACAAGGATGATATGAAGGGTAAGGAGGACGAGCTCGAGCAGTCCCGAGCCCGTCAAGTGGAGACTGAGACCAAATATGACAAAGCTGTCGAGCAGGCCATGGCTTGTGGTCATCGAGAGGGTCAACAAGCGTGTTTCTGATCTTATCTTGGTGAGGCCTTCCTCGACTCTTATCGCCAATAGGTGGTCAAAAACTATTGTCAGTCGTCTTAATTTCTCAATATGCTCGTGCCTACAGCGAAGGGGTTTATGCAGATTACTATCGACGAGGTATACGCTCAGGTAGTTACCTAAGGCTTCACAGCCGAGGTCAATATGGAGGCGCTTTACAATAAGTTGCCTAATTGTCCTACAGGTTTTAAGCATGATTCTAGACTCCCTTTAAATCACGTATGGTAGAGTGAGACTTTCGACAGGTGCCTGCTCTGAGGTGGCCTCGAGAAAAGAATTTCTCCTTCGTTTAAACCCATTCCTAATAAACCTCTTACACAAGTTACTGTTAGGGGAGCTCAAGTGGTACGGACAAGGCTACTCCACCAACTAAGCCTGCCGGAGCTTTGACCTCTGCTGGAGACAATGCCAATCCCACCAATGTTGACTTTGTTCCTCCTCCTGTTTAAATATTATTGTAATGATATTCCATGACAATGTTGAGTTTGTTTTTTGAGAAATGGTTGAATGTTTCTTTATGCCAAACTTCTGTGTTGTCTTCGAAATGCTTGACCACAATTTCC